AAGCAATGAGCTAGACTGTTGACAGGTGAAATGGAAGTTCGTAGTCCAAAAGACAGAGAAAAGAAATCAAGGAGTGGGTGAAGGGTAAACTATTGGGGGGGGGGAGAGGTTGATTCATAGTTTGGACTGTTTATAAAAATAATTAATTGGGATTTCATACATATATAATATCATTCCATACTTTAATCACATCAAGTAAAATTGTACAATTGCTACCACAAGTTTAAACCATTGAATTCGAAGATGATGATGACTTGAAATGTGTAACCCTCCCCTGTTGATACCAAATTTATAATAAAATATTATTAAGTACCAGTGTATATACAGATATCTCCCCTGAAGTGTAGTTAATATCAAATGATAGTCATTTTTAAAAATTTTTTGTCAGGTCTGAAAGGGTTGTATGCTTTCAGCATATTTATTCAGTCTGTATGCCGAGCAAACAGTCCAAGAAGCTGGGCTCCATAAAGAAAAATATGGCATTAGGTGTAGAGAAAAAAACTCATTAACAACCTGCAGATGACACTTGCTTGCTGAAAGCAAAGAGAATTTGAAGCACTTACTAAAGACGGTCCAAGACTATAGCCTTCCATATAGATTAATTATACTTCAACACAAAGAAAACAGAAATCCTCTTAGCTGCGCCAATAAGCAACATCATGATAAACAGAAAAGATTGAAGTCGAGATTTCATTTTACGTGGATCGACACTTAAAGTCCACTGAAGCAGCCGTCAAGAAGTCATCAGATGTCTTGAGAAGTCTTCTGCGAAATTCCTCTTGAAAATATTGAAGAGCAAAGAGGTCTCTCTGGGGACTAAGGCCAAGAGGCCTTGACATGACGTGACCATGGGCTTGGCAGAGGGAGCCTCTTCTTCAGTCCTAGGACACGATGACTTCATTGCACGTTACATGTAGGTTCAGAATTTCTACTAAATGACCAGGGCTTGAATCTGACTCACATTCTTGGGGAATTCAGGTATCGCTCTCTCTCAAAATGGATGAAGGGTGATAGTAGTCATACCTGTGACTGATTAAATGATTACATCAAGTTATAGTTCGGCAATAAACATTCATCAAATGAAAACTACCAGTTTGTAGTACTGCAGATACAATGATGGCTAGTGGTCATTTAGCCAATATGTATCGATATGTCTACTCTGTTTCTTACTCCAGGAAAGCAAAGCTAGAACAAGACATGGTCCAAGTCTTCCATCAGAGCCTAAGCAGGGGGTTACATTAATTAAAGTCTATGTTAAGTATTGTGGAACAGAGGAAGAAATAAATCCTGCCTAGTGAAGGTCAAGGAACACTTCGCAGAGGAGGTGAGGATCGGCCTGGGCTGTAGAGAATGAGTAGGCATTCACTAGGCGGAAAAAGGATGGAGAAAGAGTAATCCAAACAAAGGTGAGAAAGCACAAAAGCATTAAAGAGATGGGATGTGCTTGAAGAGAAGTCTGGAGCTGGAGTGTAGTGGTACAAATGTTTACAGCCCTCAAGCTGCCAACCAAACAGTCACAAGTGCGAGCCTACCCAGCAGCTTGTTGGGAGAAAAGTCCTGAAGATCTGCTCCTGTGCAGATTTACAGCCTAGGAAACCCCTCTACGGGGCAGTTCCACTCTGTGCTACAGGGTCAGGAGCTGCAATTGGCTCCCTGGCACCCAACAACCGATTGTAGAAAGCCAGGCTGGGAAGATGGTTGCATCTCACCCTGAAGGCGATGGAGATCAACTGAAATGTTTGAAACCGTTTACGACTTATTTGGGGGACCTTGCAGAGTTATGTAAGGCGAATGAAGTAAACAGACAGCCTTCACTTAGTCCACTGCCTAGGAGGAGGTTGCCTTCCCTTGCCCCCTCCCCTCCTGTAGGAAGAGGCCCTTACTGTGGTTCCCAGGACGTGTCCTGCCTTTACAACCCCCAGAGGAGGGGGTAGTCCCTTTTGACCCCTCTCAGGTCACTGAGGTTCAAAGTCAACTCTCATCTAATGGCAAGTGTCCTTTTTGCAGGGGATCAGAAGCCTAAATGCCAGCCTGAATGGGTAGCACAGTGTCTGGGGCTTGATGAGGAAAGGATGCCTCACTTTTCCCAATCCCAAGATCCTCCGATTTCAACA